ATTACATCATTTATGACTTGGGGGAATACACTTTGCTATATGCAGGGATTACTCCTAGCTCTGCCCTCAGGAATCACTTCTGGTAGGCTCGGGGACTATATGGGATGCCAGGGATTAAAGCTGGGTCAGAAGCCAGTAAGGCACGGGGCCTCTCTGCCTTACTATCTCTCCAGACCCAAGTAAGTCTTTTTATTCTGAATTCTGGGAAAGAAATTCTTGGTCATGAATGGATCAAAACAGTACTTGCCCTACAGTGCTCCCAGACCATGTGGGGAAGGACTGAACTAAAGGTACCAACATGAAAAGATTACGCCTCAGCCCTTTCTCGAGGAGCCCCAGAAGAAACAACAACACACAGTACACATCATATTGTAAATATTGTATTTCTCTCACACGTATTGTATGAGACATTTACTAGTTTTAATATGTATCCATAGGATTAATACTCAATATGGAGTATAAAATGGAAAAGTGCAGAACTATAGAAATAAGAATATTTGAAAACAAAAGCACACATTTTTAGGATTTAAAAATATTGCACATAATACGGTTGCACAGAAATTACTGGCTGTTTTCACAAACAGAATGAGGTATTAGTCAATCTCTAGATAAAGATGAGTGCAAAGAAAGAAACCACACTCAAAAAAAAAAAAAAAAATTAAGTCCATATTAAGACCTAAGGCATGAACCAAGAAAGAAATGTGAAAAGGTATGTAAAGTAGCTATGATTTCAACACTATAAAATCATTAGCCAGGGAACAAAAATGTAACAATTTCTTGGCAACAGTTTATAAATTTTCAGTTTCCCTTTGGCCTAAATGATTATGAGCATCACAATCATTTCCTTTATCCCAATTCTAAAACACAGAAAGACATAGTTCCGTGGTGAATAGTAAACCAAGCCTTTCTAATGCGTTCAGGGGAAATTACCCTAGCTACTGCTATCCAGTTGCTGAACAATTCAATTAGTTTCACATACATTAACAACCCATGTTGCTAAATCAAAGATGCTACAGAGCATGCAATTTTAAATTAGCTAAGTTTCACTGCAAAAAAATCATTCATTTACCATAACCTTTGAGGTCTAATATTTAAATATCAGGCAAACTCAATTTTTTCTTGGTTATAATAAAACTGGTCATGTCAAAAAAGCCCAAGGGTAAGATGGGGAAAAAAGACCAGGCCAAATTACGTGATCTTTTTACAAAAGGACCTTTCCTAATCAAGGAAATGAACAGCAATTTCTCCACTAGCTGAATGTTGCTAAATTTTTCAAAAACAATTTAAAAAGATCTCATAGCTTTTATCAAGTTACATGAAATCATGTTCCTGTCAAAATAGTTCACAGAAAATTGTTTTGCATTAAAGTTATTAAGGAAGAATCAACTATTTGGTTTATTAACCAAAACCCACAAAACTACTGTCCTGAACATTCAGTGTATGTAGTAACCATATTTCCTATTCTTTGAGTGACAGTCCTACAGTGCTTGCTAGATCCATGGAATCTATTTTCAGTCTGTACTGTGTGCCGGTTGGCGTTGTCAAAGCCATTAAAAGAAAACATTTTCTCCATATCTTCAAACATATCATCAAACAGTCCGCCTCCAAAAGAAAAGTCCTGAAAATGATTCCTTTGTCTATTGGAACCATCCTGGTGTGTCTGGAAGTGATTTTCAAAATTCTTCTTGGAACGAGTGTTTTGGTTTTGTCCAAAAATGTCGAAGTCTTTAAATAAGTCATCAAAATTGAAGTTAAATGACTGCTCATGAGAACTTCCACTACCTCTTTGTCCTCGGCCATTAGTAAAAGCACTATGTCCAAGAGTATCATATTCCTTTCGACTACTGGCATCTGAGAGTGTTTCATAAGCTGAAATAAAAAAATGAACATACTTTAATAACCAAAACAATGAAGCTCATATATAAACTTCTTTAAAACTAAAACACTACAAACAGAAAAATAAAGTTAAAATGGAAATTACAAAAGGCTTTGTCTTGTTCTCTCTATATTATTAACAGTTATATTATTAACAGTTAACCCAATCCTTGACCCTAGTAAATGCCCAATAAATATCTGCTAAATTTGAATGCTGTATCAATACAAAAATGGATGACAATTAGAAAATTATTCCTTATAGAATTTTCCACTTCCTTACTAGTTAAGGTTAATATTTAATGCCAACTCTCTAAAAAGTTATTTCCACCCACCAATAATTAATGAATGCTCAGGAGGCAAAATCTGTATTAGCATTTAAATTTTAAGTCAAAATAAGTTTCATACTGTTGCCTAAAGACAAATGTAGCTTTAAGTGTGTAGATCAAATGAGACAGATAAAACTCAATAATTTTTAGATTCTATTTCAATATTTATACTTAACATTTTTATATTTAATCTTTATACTTAGAAAAACATTTCTAAGTATAGGAGAGTTTGCTTTTTAAGTTACCTCAAAGTCTTGGCATTGCCTAAAATTCCATTTGACTTTGAAATGATGTGATTTTATAAATAATGAGAACAAAAACAATAGATTTTCAACTTTTTTTTAGATCTATATGCGAAAATATATACTAGCATGCATGCATCCATTCATCAAGAAATCAAAACGCGTAACCTAAGAGTCTCAAAAAAAAGTTTCAATATATTTAAAGACAGATCCGTTCCTCCTCCAATCACCACAAAATCTTCAAATACACACTTCATAGGTATCATTCGCCTTTACACTTAGTTAAAACCCAGGAGACCTCAGATATAGTCATTGACTCACCTTCTGCAATCTCTCTGAATTTTGCTTCAGCATCAGGGCTCTTATTTTTGTCAGGATGGTACTTCATAGCCAATTTATGAAAGGCCTTCTTAATTTGACGCTCTGATGCTGATTTTGGCACACCTAAGATATCATAGTAACTTTTTGAGGCCAAAATTAATTCTGTTATCATTAAAATGCAGATCGCGAAGATAAAAACTGACTGGGGAGTAGCCATCCTAATATCCTAAAAAAAAAAAAAAGACAATATTTACTCATGTAACTAATCTTGACATTTTCTCTTAAAAGAAACCCAAACTTAAGAATATAAGGTATACTTATTAGTAACAGCAAAAAAAAGGTAAGCTTCTAGTCATTGTTTCCACGTTATTTCATCATATGTACACATCTCACCCCTAATGGGTGTTGTTCTTAAATTGCTCATAACTTTGAGAGCTGATATAAATAAATTTAGGCTATGAAAATGCCTTCTGGGCTTTTCTGCTTTTCCATCAACACTTTCCCATTATCTACTCGGTAGACACAAACACATTCAGTGCCCGATCTACACCGATTGATAAGAAAAGCTCATATGCGAGCATTAAAAAACAGAAAATTCCAATTATTTTCAAGGATACTGACGTTCAGGAATTCATACTTGAATGGAGAGTCTTCACAGATAAGGAAAAGTCGTCTCCCAGGGTAAGAGCCCTTAAAGTCTCCACACCTTTTTCACTCCGGTTGCTTTGCAACCTGGGGAACACCCAGTGCTGCAAACTGGGACCCGCACGTTCCCAGTAATCCTGACATTTCATTAACAAGGTGACATTTCTAGAGTCTCAGACAGACACAAACACGCAAACACACACACACACACACACACACACACACACTCCTCAAACATGACCCGATTTCCATCTCCACCTCGGTTGTTAAAGGCGTGGGGAGGAAGTCATCCCAAGATTCGGGATCCGAATTCAGAGTTCCAGCAGGCGGCAAGGAAAACCCAACTTCCCCGGGCGGCCCTTGAGCCAAGTGTCCACAAACCTTCCTGGGCGGCGGCCGCCGTTACTGCGCGACTCAGCCAGCGCTCTGCCCCGAACCGGCTTCCCGGGTCCGGCCGCGGGCGCCCCCCGCCACCTCCCCCTGCACCCCAGAGAGCCCCAACAACCGCGGGGGACCTCCCGGGGCTGACGAAAGACGCGCGGGTTTGTGGCAACGGCCAGCAGCAACATCCGCAGCCTCTTGGGGCGCAATTAGCAGGTGGCGGAGCCCGGCTTCCCCGAGAGTTTCCAGAGTCGCGGATACCCGCCACTGGGGGCTTGCTGAGGCCAGTGTCCGGCTGGACGGGCTGGTGGCCGCCTTCAGGGTCCGTCCCCGCGCTCCACGCGCCCCCTTGGGGAACAGGCCGACCCTTCAGCACCACCCCCGCCCCCCACGGCCGGGGGCTCCCCGTCCACGCCCCGACGCCGCCGTCCAGGCTCTAGGGGCGAGAAGCGCTGTCCCACGCCCCAGGAAGTCGGCGCCACGACCCCCAACACAGGCTTCGGGCACTCGGCCACGTCCAGTCCTCCGACCCTTACTAAAGAAGTCCCCTGCCGGGCGCGCCTCTGCGGGAGGGTCCACCGCGTCGGACGCCGAGGCCACAAAGAGCGGCCGAGATGGACGTTCCTAACACTCGGCCCCGGCCTCAGCCCTCCGCGGCGCCCGCCCGCCCGCAGCTACGGCTTCTCCACACGGCGGCGGCGGCGCCCCGGAGAAGCCGCTCAGGCGCGGTCCCTCTCCCCCGGAGTCGGGGGCCCTTCACGCACCTCACTGCCTCCAGTACACCGCCCGCGCGCGCAGCCAACCTGCTCCGCCGCCGCCGCCGCCCGTCTCCCTCGGTCCCCTCAGCCCGCGCTCTACTGGCCGCAGGCTGCTGCTGGCGCGGCCACCTCTAAAGAAGACCTACACGAAACGCTCTCCGATTGGCTCCCGTCTCCCCCACGTGATCCTGGCGCGCTACGCGCACGTGGAAAACTGTTGTGGCCGCTCCGCCGGGGCGTCACTTCCGGCTTCCAGCCTCGGCCGAGCAGTAGCCCGGGGCCGCAGGGGCGGAAGTGAGTGGAAGAGGGCGGAAGTGAGTTATAGGTGGAGGCGTCTTTTCTCCCGCCCGGCGGCCTTCGTTGGCGCAGGCGCGGAGGCTCAAGTCGGAGGGAGCTCTGCCGGCGCCTCCTTAAAGCGGATCAGACCCCGCTCCCGGGCCCGCCGCTGAGCTATGCCCCGCTATTGCGCGGCGGTGCGTTGCCAGAACCGTCGAGAACGGAACAATACAAACCGGAAGCTGAGTTTTTACCCTTGAGTTGTCACTTCGGAAAAGAGCGCGCCGGTCCTGTGGGCGTGTTACGGGGCTTGGGCTGCGGGACTGTGTCCCCGTCCGCGCTGTCAAGTTCGGCTTCAGTTCCCCGGACAAGTCCGCTGGCTGACTGGGCGGGAGGAGGGCGTTGAAGGCTCGCGTCAGGCCACCTGTGGGACTGTCGATGACATCGTTGTCAGAGGGTCCTCGCAGGCGCCTGAAGCTGTCTACTGTGCCGAGCGTTTGCGTGCTGTGCTTTTTTTTTTTCTCTCAACTTTTTGGGGTTTTTTTGGGGGGGGAGGGCCTTTCGTTTGTTTGTTTTAAGAGGTGGGATTTCTTTTCGGCGGTGCAGAGGGTAGAACGCGCGGCTCCTCCGGTGTCGCTGTCCTGGATCGCCAGACTCCGTCCCCTGTTCGGTGTTTCTCAGACACACCCCACCCCAGACCCCCACACCAGCACCACCGCCACCAAAGCGTTTAACTCCACTTACTCCCGTTTCAGGGAGCGATGCCTGCCCGTCCACGGGGCTGAGGAGGCTAGACCGGACTCCGCACCTTCTCTGCCCGGGCTCCGCACCTCCCGTGGAGTCTGGTGGGTGGACTCGCAGCCCACCGGCCCCGGCTGCGGGCGCGCGGGACAAGTGCGGGTGCTTGTTCCAGTGCCACGGAATCCTGGGGACCACTGGCGAGGCGGAGGGTTGGTTGCGGGGAGGACGGTGGGGGGACGTTGTACTCCGGAGGGCAGGAGAGCAGCGGGGCTGGGCGATGACTGCCCTGGCTCTCCCTTCCCGAACGGAATGATCTGCAATAAAATTCCGAGCCCAGGAGATGCCAACCACCCGGGTTTGATCCCCAGCACCACATGGGACCTCCGAGCCCGGCTAGGAATAATCCCTGGACGCTGAGCAGAGCCAGGAGTAAGCCCTAAGCACCACCGTTGAGTGTCGCCCAACAACTTCTCCTCAGCCCCCTACCGTCCTCCGCCACCACCACCCCCCCCACACACACACACAAATACACAGACATACACACAAAAAGTTGTATTTTAAAAAAAAAAAAAAACTTCAGAGTACTGAGATCGCTTGTCTAGAGGGAGCTGTGCGCATCCACGTAATTGCCTAGTCGAGGAAGCATTACAGTATTTCTTACATGTGAGAATCAGCTCATTTAGAGTATGCTACCCCTTTTTTCTCTTGTTCTTAACAATTTTTATGCTACCGGTTTTTTTCTTTTGTTTTTAACAACTGATTAACTGCTTTTACGTCTCGTTTTCTCGTGTGATTTTTGTAAAGCGCTTTTACTTGAGATGCAGAGCTCTGTTCTCTAGCTAATGAATGACTCAGCTGTTTCTCTCACCTGTTGTAACTAATGGGTGGTTATCAATCTTCAGATTCAAACTCCATGACAAGATTTACTGGATTAGCGGTTTTGAAGCTCATCCACAGAACGCAAAGCGATATTTGGGGCCTCTGTTGGGATATCCAGTCTGTGTGCAGTTAATTGCAGGTGCTGATATGTGATTGGGTCGGCTTCTGAGAAGGTCTGCAGCAAAGGATCATGTTGAATTTCATTTTGTCCCATATTGCCCAACTTTATGGCACCGTGGTTTGGGGATCGCCTAACACCAGACTAAAACATTCTTTAATTTACTTTTGTTGGTATTGATTCTCTACCACCACCACCCCTTTCCTTCTTGCTATTCCATGTCCTGAGGCTGCACATCCGGTGGCAACACACACATGTAATCGGTCATAAGGTGTAGAAGGTTGCACACTTGTGACAGTGCAGGGATTGAACTCTAGGTCTCAAGCATGTAAAGTGTGTGCTCTTGCCACTGATCTACATACCCAGATCCCTGCATTCCTATTATTTAAGGGAAAAGGTGGCCTCCAAGTGGTGCTGAGGATCTGAGGGACCACTCCAGGATATACTTGACCTGTTTGCCTGATGGTTCAATTCCTGGGCATGGCGATACAATAACGCTTGGACTGGGACAAGTTGTGCACTTGAAAGGTAGATTGCAAGTATGTGTACAGATCTGAAATGTGGCAAAATTGTTAACGTACAGGAAATTTTTTTCTTGTAGGTTTCTTCTACACGACAAAGAAAGACTTAAAAAATGGTTAAGGAAAATGAACCATGATTCCTGGGTTCCTAGTAAATACCAATTCCTTTGCAGTGACCATTTTACTCCTAATTCTCTTGATATCAGATGGGGTATTCGATATCTGAAACAAACTGCAGTTCCAACAATATTTTCTTTGCCTGAGGACAACCAGGTATTAGAAGAAGAAAGTAGGGGGAGAGGGCCATAATGTTGAGTAGGGTGGTAGATAGGTAATCAGGTGTTGGGAGTGAAGGTAAAGATGCAAGGAGAAACAAACTGAAAAAAAGAAAAACCAATTTTTTCTGTTATAAGCATATCTTTTTGTTTTGGGGGACACATCTGGCCCTGCACTGAGTAATCGCTCTTGGTGGTACTCAGGGGACCATATAAAATGCCAGGGATTGAATAAGCATATCTTAAGAAAAGAAAATTATAACATATCTAAATTGTTGCTTTATTAAATTAATTTTATAATATTTTATTGGTCTTTTGATCTGAAGTGTTTCCATTATATAATGAATATACTTAATGCTTTTTCGAAAAGACACTTCAGGAGTCAAGAGACAGTACAGCGATTAGGGAGCATGCCTAACATGTGCCTGACCACAGTTCCATTTCTGGTACCAAATGATCCCAGAGCATCACTGGGTGTTGCCCTGGAGACCCAGGAAGGCCCTAGTAACCATCCCCTGTATTGCAGGGCCTGAGCATCATTGCATCCTCTGGCTCTTTCACAATTGCTTTTAGGGCACCCAGACCTCCTGAGCCCCCTCAAAAGAAAATATTTACTAATTACATAGAACGTTTATTTTTTAATTTGTTTTACCAGTGTATTTCTTTAAAAATGTATACAATGAGCAATAACTCATAATAGGTCTAGTAAGATATTTTCTTTTCTTTGTGGGGGGGGGGACCACACCCACCAGTGCCTGGGGCTTACATGATTTTGTGCTCAGGAATCACTCCTAGCAGTTCTTAGGGGACCATATGCAGTGCTGGTAGTCAAACTGGGATTAGCTACATGTAAGGCATAGTCTTACCTTCTATACAGTCTCTTCATCCCTTGTAAGAACATCTTTTTTAGAGTTTAAAACTAATATTTTCTAGGAGAAAAACCCTTCAAGAAGATCTCCAAGGGAAAAGTTGGAAAATGAGAAAGAAATGTAAGAGAAATCCTTTGCATCAGATGAGCCAAAGAAAAAAACAGGTAACACAGGTATCCCTCCTGAAGCTGCAAAATTAAATGATTCATCTTTTCTGATGAAGTCACCACCTCAAAAATCAGGAACTATACAAAATTGACCTATTAACTCTGGTTCAACAAGATGCCAGAAAGCCAGAATCTACCATGGAAACATCAAGCAAGACATTATTAAAGATAGTTTTCACACATCTTTTGAGAATGACTATTACTTTGACGACTTCAAATTTAGAAGGTATTCAACAGCCACTGGAAACTCAAAAAGTTCTTGAAATAACTACTAATCATCTTGCTAATTCCAATTTTACAAATAGTTTCATGGAAATTAAGTCAGCACAGGATAATCCATTCTTAATCAGCACAATTACTCAACTGTTGAAGAGTTAAATACAAATATAAATATTGCCATTTTTATACCCACAGAAAATTCGAAACCAGCAATTAACTCTTTTATGCCTTCCCCGAAAGAAACTGTGGAGATGGAAGACACAGACAGTGAAACCTCCTCATGTGAGGATACAGACTACAAGACAGAAGTTTTACATATTGAACATTCTTATTGCAGACAAGACATAAATACGGAGCATCTTTGGCAGAAACTTTCTAAACTACATTCAAAAATAAATCTTCTTGACCTCCAAGAGCAGCAAAGTCTAGGAAGATTGAAATCTTTAGAATCTCTCTAGTAAGGCAGCTACAACAGGAAAAGCGGCTATCTGAAGAAAATGTCAACACTATAGAAAACCATTTCACAACATTTGAAGTTACTATGATGTAAATAAATTTTTTTTAACTTTTGCATTTTTATTACCACAGGTTTTTCTTTTTAAAAACAGGAGGCCAGGCGGCCATACCAGTGAGGGGGAGGCCACGGTGGTAGGAAAAGGCAAGTGCGGTGGGGGTGGGGGTGGGGGTGCGGGACTGATAATAAAGCTCTACTGATAATAAAGCTCCAAGTTCATCCCATCATGGATTTCATAGTCCCCCAGAGACTTGAAAATCGTGTACCACTTTTCAACACGATCTTATTCCAACGGGTTCGGGTCTGGGCTGCAATCAGCTTCTTGAGGTCCCCGATGGTGTCATCCGTGTTGCACTTAACCCGGACTTTTTTGCCCAGACGGTCATTACACACAACCTCAATCATTCTGTCCCGTGCTTGAACCACCTGGAACCTGCTGAAAACACAATTGATGTAAATAAATTTTAAAGTTATAATTTTAGTAGGAACTATTTACAACTAAACCAAATTATACATAAAGTCAGCTGTTCACAGCATAATACATTGTTTCCCAAAGAAGGCAATACCACATTGTTTCCCAAAGAAGGCAATACCGCCTTCAGTAACCACTGAAACCATCTAGGGGGCAATAGGCGGCTCAGGTGCAACTGATGGCTTCTTTGTTGCTTAGATAGAGTTCTGTTTGTTGCTTAAAGTAGAATTCCAGGGGTCACCGAGTAATAGTCCTTTTATAATTTTTTCCAATTGAACTAAATAAAAATAAGATAACTGGCCGTAGCCCAATTCTTAAGAGAAATAATTTAAACTTGAAAGAAGATGTATTTCAATGTTTTATATGAGGCTGACTATCATAAAACATTATCACAAGCTTTTTAACATCCTTTAAGGTTATATTTATAAAACAAAAATTTCAATGATGCTTATTTTTGTAAGACATAATTATATTTTAGAAATAAATTTTATCTAATAGATATAGCTTTTTAAAAGATGTGCTTGTGTCATTTTTAAATTCCAGAATGAGTGTGTGTATAATGCTTTGTACATGCCATTTGTATATTTTATTAAAATTTCTAAGCAAGAAATTAGAGCTACAAAATGATAACATTGGGAGACTAAGGAGGACAGTCATAGGGGGCTGGAGATATTTGGATTTTTAATTCATTTTCTATTGCTCAGGTTGGCCATGTTGGCCGCTTGTAAGGCGAACGCCCTGCCGCTGTGCTATCACTCCAGCGGTAGGGCGTTCGCCTTACAAGCGGCCAACATGGCCCCCCCGAGTTCAATTCCTCCGCCCCAAGCTACCGAGAGTATTCGATATGCCAGACACAGTAACAACAAAGTCTCCAATGGAGACGTTACTGGGCCCGCTCGAGCAAATCGATGATCAACGGGAGGGCCTTTACTTTACTTACTTTACTTTCTATTGCTATGCTGTGACTGGCTGGAGTGATAGCACAGCGGTAGGGCGTTTGCCTTGCGCGCAGCCAGCCTGACTGAGCCAGGTTCGATTCCTCCGCCCCTCTCAGCCAGCCTGGCAAGCTACTGAGAGTATTCGATATGCCAAACACAGTAACAAGAAGTCTCATAATGGAGACGTTACTGGGCCTGCTCGAGCAAATTGATGAACAACGGGAGGACAGGTCACAGGTCACAATGCTGTGACTGATAGTAAGTCCCAAATTTAAATTCCAAATATAAGAAAAAATGTGACTGAGTGATAACAATAAAAATGATGATTCCTTAAAATTGTTGAGCTGTAAATTAGGTCCGTTACTGGTTTTAGTATTGAGCAAGGATTTCTCACTAAGTTATTTTAAAAATATCTATGATGTGGGATGGTTCTTGAGAACTTTTATCAAGTCCCAGAAATACTCGTTGTTAACTGACTTCATAACAAATAATGTACAGTTGTTTTGTAAGGACATGGCGATTTTTTGACCATGTTTCTCAGAGCTTTTGCAGTTTAATAAATGCCATTCTAAGAGTGTGTGTCTGCAGATATAAAATGGTGTAGTTTTTAAGTATTATCATGTTATATTTTGCTAAAATTTAATATACATGAAAATAACCTTTATAAGTCACTACGTATTTTTTCAATCAGTTTTTAACAGTTTACATAGTTAAAGATAGTTTTCTCGGGAAATATTTTAAATAGTTGTACTTCTTTAAATTTAATAAATTACAAGTATTTTAGATATTTTTTCTTAGCTTGTTGCATTCAGTACCATATGTTCTCAAATTAACTCTCAAGCTAACCTCTGAATGTATCAGGGATTCCAATCAACTTTATGTCTTACTTGATTACAAGAGCCTCTTAACTAATCTTGCACAAATTTTCACTCTCCCACTTCCATCTCATCGTAAACTCTGCTACCAACTTTTTACCTAAACTATAGATTTAACTATGACAGATCCCTACCACTTAACTTTCCCAATACAGAATTCTGTTATAATGTTCTAGTTTTCCTAGAATAAGTTAACCATAGTACATACTCGATTCTGTGTGGTTCTGTTGATATTGTGAACTAGCCACTCTGGACTCCTTAGAATTTACAGAACATGCTCGGTAGGTACTCTTTCTGTCATCTTATTTTATTCCCTAAATACTATCAAAATTACTTACTGACTTTGGTGGAATTTCTTTTCTATTTCCAGTAAGAATTGTTCTTCCTTTTCCTTTGAGGTGTTTTGTTTGTTTTTAACACTATAAAGGTTTTTATCTTATACATTTTGTATCAGACCCTTGACACTTTTTGTTTGTTTTGTTTTTGGAGCTACACCCAGTGGCACTCAGGGCTTACTCCTGACTCCTACTCAGATCACTCCTGACAGGACTCAAGAGACTACATAGGGTGCCAGGGATCAAATTCAGGTCATATGCATGCAAGGCAAATGCCCACCCACTGTACTATCTCTCCAGTCCCCTATGACATATCTTTTTAAAAGGTGATGTTTTAATTCATTTTATTTCCTTCACAGTGTAATATTTATTCAAATATTTGGATTTTTAACTCGTTTTCTATTGATACAACATGGCTTATAGTAATAATTTTATGCTTATAATGCTCTTCTACCACACTCTTAACCAGAGCGTCAGTATTCCTCCACCGTTGTCCTTTCTTCCCTCGGCTTCCTACCATCTCTTACCATTGGCAACCTAAGTTCTCAGTTCTATTGGCAATTTCTCAGTGTTTTCCACTGGGCATTGTCCTCCCCTTATTTGTTTCTTTATACTCCACTCATGTACAAGATTTATATGAAAGTTTTGAATTTGCCTGCTTAAAATTTCTGGGTTGTTGCCACAAAATTCAAGAACTTTTTTTGATATGTTTTGGAGCCACAGACAGCAAGGCTGGAGCTTGCTCTCAGTGGTGTGTATTGGGCATGGAGTTGTTGGGGAACCATGTGCTAACTGGGATGAAACCTGGGTCTCCTCCTTTGCATCCACTTTGAGTGGAGGCAGATGATCTGTTGGGCTATTTCTTCAGTGCCCAAGAACCTTTTGTTCTTGAATCACACACACACTGCTATATGCTCATGGTCCACTTAAAAGCAGGCTTAGAGGACCTTGAATTGTTGGTATTGAACAAGGTCAGCTGCATATAGGGCAAGCACCATAACCGCTATATTATATCTCTGGTTTCCCTTGCCCTGCCTCTAGAACTTTTGTTTGTTTGTTTGTTTGGGGTGGGGGCCACACCCAAGGGCTCAAGCCTTATTCTTGGCTCTGTCCTGAAGGATCATTCTTGGGAGTCTCGGACTATATGTGTTGCCAGGGCTCCAACCTGGGTCCATTTCCAATGGAAAACATAATTTATGAATTCATGTTTGACCTTCTGTCAGTTGACTGTTGTGGAAGACCGTACCCACCTAGATTTTTATAGGTTCTGTCCTTGGTAATTGAAAGGGCAATAATTCCAAGAAAAAATGTGTGCCTTTATACCTACATGTAAGGAACATAGCTAAGTCAAATTTAGATTTGATAAATTTAGGTGGTAAATTTGATCAACTATTCTGCAAGTCATGAACATTTTCTGCATATTTTTAACTGAAAAAAAATCAGGTATATTGAGTTGAAATACATGCAAGAGAATTTCCTATTTCTAGATAAATTGGATAGTCTTCCCAACTACTATAGTGTTTGAATACACTTATTTTTTTATTTTAAAATTATGCTATTATTTTATTTTAAAATTTTTTATTTTATTTTAAAATAAAGTTATTTTTTATTTTAAAATTAAAATAGCCTACTATTTTTTTTTTTAAAAAAATAGTAGGCTGCTATTAATGTGATTTTTCACTGGGTAGATGTGAGTAAAAAGCACTTATTACTATTCTCAAAGGAAAGCAATAGAGCAGAAGTGAGATGTATTTCTTTCAATAGTTAGATATTTTCAAGGAAGAGTCTTTATTGCATTCAACCTTGCTTCTAAGATAATTTGACCTCATTCTGATGGTCACTGGTGGACCTTATTTATCATCAGTAATTGTTCCCCCTGAAAAGTAACAACTTTAAGATCTCCTGACTAGAGATGGGTGTTGAAACATTGTATGACTGAAACCCTATCATGAATAGCTTTGTAATTCTCTATTTATTCAATAAAAATAAATATATTTGCAAAGAGGGAAGAAAAAAATATATATATCTCCTGACCGCCACCAGAAGGTTGATCAGCACAGGTCTTAGAACAGCTCAGCCTATAATAACTACTCTTCTGTCATCCCTGAGGTAGGTTGTATTTTCTAAATAAAGCTACAAAATAAATATCACATGCTAATCTGTAGTGTGACCTCGACACCATCAAGAGGTGAAGTTTATTTCTACACCTCTTTGAGTCCGGTAGGCTGCATGACTTTTACCAATAAAATACAATAAAAATGACATTAACAGTTCCAGAATAAACCGATAATTACCCTGGCAGTTTACGCATAAGAACAGTGCGACTGTCTTAGAATGTCAGAGGTCATGTAAGATTGACAGATCCCCTTAAAACATCTGCAAAACCCAGGCTCTGGAAAGTAAAATATCGGAAACA